AGTTGTTCAAAGTTCCTATTTCGACGTTTATGAAATTTCTAAAATTTTTGAAATTTTGGTTGGGAAAATTTTGACGAATTTTGCATGAAAGCATACCTTTACCTTAAAGTTTTTTTTTTTTTTTTTTTTTTTTTAATTAGTATGATTTGTAGTCTATATATGGGTGATTAGTTTTCATTAAGAATTAAAAAATATCTTTGAGTTTTCTTTTAAATGACATGATAAATGTATGAAAATTTAGGATTCCATTAACCTTCTCTCGCATGGAACGTGGGTTTAGGGATAGACCATGTGAACCTAAAGATCTCTTGGCTCATAATCTCGAAAATATCAACAAAACTTTGAGATTTTACTAGAGATGATACCATCACAGTATCTTATCTTATGAGAATAGCACTAAGAGAGTTTAACCCTGCATTAAATGTCATGTTCCAATCACGTGTGATTACTAAGTTTTTCATATTATTAATTATTGAAGGGATGAATGAAAAAAAAAAAAAACTTTCCTTTTATATTCAACTGGGGCATAAATCTCTATGATTGCCTAATAGCAAATTTCACCTAATCTCACATGCCCTTACTATAAAAAGAGTCATGTAGGATATCTATTTATAAGTTTTTGTTCATAAAAACGATTGTTCCTTCTTTGTTGCCCTTTACCGAGGTCCATAATCGGGGTCCCGTCCACTGGGATTAAATGCCAAGTATTTTTTTTTTTATCTAGTTTTATTTCTTGCTGACAAATAATTTGTCAATTGTTCACATGGAGTCAGACTGCAAGCTTGGGGGGGGGGTATCTATTTTAGGTGTCTTCAATTCCGCAATATCCCAGGTTGCAAGTCTTACCTTATTGGGGTATAACCATTGGGCTGGTCGGGTTCGCTAAATACTTGGATGCAACTAACGTTAAAGTCGAGGTGGTTATTTTATTGTTGATGTTGGGGTGTGAACTCCAAGGCTTCGATTGCCCTAAGCATCAGAGTGGGATAGTCAATCACCCATATCTTAACTTAAGGCGTTCATGCCAACTCTGATTTATGTAAGGGGATCATAACAAGGAGTGACGAGGTAACTAAGAGGAACCAATGTATGGTACACGCTAGTAATTTTTCCTTCGTGCCCGGCAAGACCGACGTGCCTAAGAATCAGATATATCTAGATGTACAATAGTATAGCAACCGACTTTAGGTTAAGAAAGAAAATCGTAGGAAAGCATACCCTGGAAAAGAATTTGGTAACTTTTTCCACCATTTGAGGCTTTAGCATGGGGCCGTTAACAGTTAGAAAAGGGAGCTCAAGGGACCCGGTTTCTTTTATGAAGGTAAGAACACATGTGTCATGAGATTTTTTATTGTGCAATATATCGTCTGAGTATCCACCTCCTTCCTCCTATCCTCCACTTTGGTTAAGCGCATCCTCTTTGGGACGTGCTTTGCGTGTTCCTACCTTCATATTATCTGTAGGACTGGATATACGTTTTAGAGCTTGAAAAGAGAAGGGCTGAGATCCAACTTCTTTCATTTCTTCATCTTCCAACGATGAGGAAACCTCCTCCTTCTCTGGGTTCTTCTCTTCCAATAGATTGGGAGGGGGCGGGGGAATCTGCTCCGCAAGGGTGCAAATCTCTCCCTTTGTTATAGTTAGGGAAGTAAAGTCAATTTTCACTTGATTCATTTTAGACAAGAAGTTAGTTGGTAAACCCTCGAAAACTCCTGCATATGATTTCGATAGAGAGTTTTGGTCCTTCTGATTCTTCGTTGTGTTGGATCCCTCCCCGTTATCTCCTTTATCTTCCATTAGCACATAATCTTTTTAAGACTCATCAATTGGCTTGATTTCATCCTTCTTTGTTTTCTGTTCCCCCAAAGTATCGATCCACCCCTTCCAGGTCCTTCCCTTTGAAAACAAAGCTACAAACTTAAAGCAACCTCAATAATAATAGACTTACGAATAACTTCTGCAAGCATACTTTTTGGACGGAGTGAGAGAGGACTGGTATACCCGACGTCTTTGTTAAAATGGCAAAGCATCCAAACTTCAAGGGACTCGAGGTATCGTCTTCTAGCGTTGAAGAGGGCTTCGCTCCATCTATTACCACCCTCTATGGTGAATAGGTAGCTCAACCCAAACAAGACGAAGGCCAATGTTAAAAATAAGTATCGCCTCCACTCCATTTGTTGATGTCAACATCAAAATAATAATACTTATAGGTCGTTCATGCTCGGATTGCGCACACTCACCTCCAGTCTGGCAAGGATTCACTATGCCAAACTTTAGCTATGACTAAACGAGCTGAAGTGCGTGAACTAGCTAGTTTTCCATAGCTGGTGCCATATTCCACATGTTCTGCATCGAGGAGGGGGGAGATCATGTTGCCTGAGTTGATTGCTAACCCTAATCGCAATTACCTCGTCGCCAAGTGCAATCGAAATAGGACTAAGAATAGCACAGGCAACCTCGCTAAGTTAGGACGCAGCCCAGCTTGGGAGGCACAAAAGTGGCCTTCAAAAGGTTGTAACTTCTAACTTTCCTGTTTGCTACCTGCAAAGGCGTAGTGTCCACCTCCTGGGGATAGTCCGCAGGCGTGGTGTCCATCTCCTGGGCATAGTCCATTGGGCGTGGTATCCACCTCCTGGGGATAGTCCGCGGGCGTGGTGTCCACCTCCTAGGGATAGTCCGCGGGCCCGTTTGCCCTTTGAGCCTAAACATGGTTCCCACCACCCATGGCCTCGTTCAACACCACTCGAACTCAAGGGTTGAAGGAAAATTCTTCGTTCCACCCGTAATGTTTTCACTTCCTGCTCTCAAGTGCGCATCTGTGAAACTCAAGTGCGGCTGGGGCAAAATCGCACTTGAATCCTAACGGATACCGCAGAGCACTTCGAGTGGGGCCTTCTTTTGTTTTTTGTTTTTCCAGCAGGCATCCTGGTACAGAATCAGTCAAGCCGTGGGTCACCCGCCGTTTAGCTTGATCCTGGGTTCTGACGATAGGAGCATGACGCTCACCTACGTTGCCAAGCTTCGGGCTTAGTTTTCATGATTAATTTTTAAGCCCTTGTCACGTTTGGGAGGATGCTGATGTGTCGCAGTGTGTTCTTCTTCTTCTTCTTCTTCTTCTTCTCATTTTGTTATTTCTTCTTTTTTTCTATGTCAATGGTTTCCGTTTTTTGCACTGTGATATCTGGTCTTTGCATGATGATTTTAGGTCTCCTTGGACCGACGTCTCCTTTAGATCGACTTATTAATGATGACACTTATGAATGATTGTGCAGTTTTGTGCTTGCCGTCGGTTCTGGTTTCAAGTGCAGCTCGTTCAAGGGTTTCCTCAAGTGTACGTGGAACCATAAATGGAGTTTGTGTAAATGAATATCATTTTTTCGTTTAGGGCGTCCTTGAAACTCAAGTATTTTCAACTGGTGTCGAACGAGGCTCCTAGAGATTACTTGGGGCCTTGCCACACTACTCCCTACTTGGCCATTTTCGGGGGTGCAGCATCGCCACACCAGCTCCCGAGTTCAACCTGCCAAATTGAATTCGGGAGCTGTCAGAATGTGGCTCCCAAGAGCACTCCTGAAATCGTTTGAGCCTCCTGCCTGTAAAAGGCCATTTTCGGGAGATCTCTCATGGAGGCCTGTGTTTCCACGGGAGAACTCATGCGCAGACAAGCATTCTCCTCACAGTTTTTGTCGCCACATGCTGGACAGTGCTGGACAGTCTCTCTGTCTGAAAGTGCGCCTCCTGGCCTCCAAATCGGAGGGTGAGTCGGGAGTGCAGCGCATCCATTCGGGTCTTCTGACGTTCGAGAGTACTCCCGAAAATTTTCTCCAAGGGCCTCTCCACACCACTCTTGAAAACTCATTTTCAAGAGTTGCTGCATCGCCACACAGCCTCTTGAAACTTGGGGCAGTCCAGAGCAGTCAGAGAAGCTCTTGAAAGATTGGAAACCCCAGCCTGCAACTCGTGCGTTTTCAAGAGTCCTTGGCTGAACCCTTGAGGGACTATTGATTTTCAAGAGTTGTTGGGCCGTTATTCTGACGCCACTAAAAAAAAAAAAAACCTGTACGACTATTGGCCTCGCTGCACTACTCTCGACATGCACAAAAGACAAAAATATTGGCCGTGTATCTTTCCATATTCTAGAGTACGATTCACTCTCATTTTGCACATCTCGAGAGTAGTGCCGCGAGGCCCTATCTTTTTGCATCCTTTGTCCAGCAGTGTCGCCGTTTCAAAAGTGCTGTGTGGCCAGGGGCCGAAAACTCTTGAAAATACAACTCTCTAAATCGTCTGACAGCTCTTGAAACATTTCCTTGTGTCAAGAGTGGTGTGGCGAGGCCCCAAGTCGGCAGTAGTGTGGCGAGGCCCTTGGTTCCCCTCAAGGCCTTTCCCCTTCAGGAAAGAAAAAACAAGAAGCATTTCTTATCAATGAAAAAAATAACGCTGGCGAAGTGGTGCCCTGCGTACGCGTGTCCCAAATTTTCAGTTTTGTTTTCCATTTTTCCCGACGCCCCGCCGCTGCAAGCGTTCGCTTTCCCTGTCCTCTGTCGCTCAGCGCGCTTGCGGATCGTCGCGCCCAGTTCTTTTGGATGTCGGCACCGATGCACACTACCATCGTTTGTTAGTAGCGTAGCCGCCTTTGGGTTGTCTGCATGCCCGCAATTTCGGTGAGCCGGCTACGCTCCGCCACAGTAGCACCTGCCCATGTTGCGCGCAGCCCTTTACACATGGCGCTCACGAGCAAGCGGCAAAACAGGACAAATGTGTGGGTATGTTGAAATTCGCACGACGGCAGGCAGCTTGGAGCAGCCGGGACGGCCGCCCTTACGTGTGCGCGGGAGTGGGTAGAAGGGGGAAAGGGCCACCCGGCCCACCACAGATGAAGCACAGCGGAAGTACACGGTGAGCTGCAAGTGAGCTGACAGCCGAGCTACGGCAGCTACGGCAGGACGTGCAACAGTGAGCTTAGCGAGAGTATTTATAACCCGCTCGAGGCGTCGTATTGGTAAAGACACACCGCATGCACGGTGGCGCGATTCGAACTCAGCTCAATTTTGAACTCGCGACAGTACGCGCAAGTTGCCACGCTTTGCCCCTGCGTCTAGCCGTATAGGGAAGACGGGAGGGGCAGAGAGACACGGTGCTTGCCTTCGCCGGAGCAACTAGCGTGGGTGAGAGAAGCTTTGTCGGCTCTTGCTGCAGACCACGAAGGAGGAGGAGAAGAGAGCTAGAGTGGGGAGGCTGGTGGGGGAGGACTTGTCGTATCTTGTGAGGAGACGGCAGGAGGCGAGATAGAAGTGACGCTGAACTGACTAGCCTTTTGTCCGTTCGGTCGTGTCATCGTCTTTCCGCCGTGTTAGGTCGATTCTCTTTCTCGGGCGCAGTTATATCAGGTGCCGCGCTGCTCGTAGCGAGTGGGCGTGTTGTTCGATCCCCTTCTCGTTTTTTCGGTTCTGTTCAAGGCTAATTGTGCTCTCTGGCGATGGCGGGAAGGAGTGAGGGCGGGCCAATTTACAGTCAGATTGTAGAGAAGCTCAAGGAAGGCGTGCTTCCTGTGCGTTTGGTGGTGAAGGATGAGTCTCATCTGCACCCTCCGCGCTATGGAAGGGATGGGGAAACACATTTCAGGTGAGTCAGTACTCGACCGAGGGATAAGGTAGAATTGTCTCATGTTAATTGACTGGTCTTGATGCGGCCGTTGTCCTGTTCGCGGCCTTGTCGACGCTGATGGTCTAGTCAACCTCTGTAGAGAGAGAGAGAGGGAGGGGGGAGAGGGGGGGAGAGAGAGAG